AGGAATTATGCTGCACAATATGATTGTTTTATATACAACTCTAATTACAAATCGTATTAGACAAATACTATTGATGTACAAATTCTCTTCTTAAAGGATTTGAACCTTCAGTTAACCTTTCAATTTGATAGTTGGCAAAAGGCGTAGCCATGGCAGCTAAAAACTACCATCTGGTTGGCAACTCCACTTGTAAAGATCTAAAGTGATGACATCACAAAAATAAAAGCATGAAATTCCTATAAAGCTGTGAATTAAGATATTTTGTAACACATTGCCTGAAATATGGCCACATGACCATAGGCCCTTTCTACATCAAATCAAAGTTGTTTTGTCTTTGTTCATAACATGATGAACCAAGCAGAAAATATTAGTAATCCTTTAGTAGCAAGCCTCAAATCTTCTTAATTGACAATATCTACCCATGGTTTAACATTATAACTGATAATCTGTATTTTCAAGATTTTCTTTTCGGTTATGTGGTCAAAAGTCTAAAATTCTAAAAATATACTTCTATGACATCACGCCCTTAAACTCTGTAGCTAAACAATAGGGACACATCCTCAGTCCAAAATTCTCAATTTTCTCTTTTTCACTATATCAAGCAACTTTGCACTATTTTCGAGTCTTTTTATCAATTTAGACAGTTGAGAAAAAACAGGAACCACTGGGTTAACCCTAGTTTGAAAATTACAAAAAGATAAAGGTGTTCCATTTGTGCAATAGATAATACAGTTCTCAAGCGTTGAAAGCAGAAAGTTTAGATTTGAACTTCTTATTCGCCAATTACGAGTTAGACAATATAATCTCAAAGATAAATTTATGAAAGTTTTAATAAAAAGTATAAAATAGTTTCCATGACAGTGAGCTGTAAAGTTTCCTAATGTGAATGCTTAATGTTTTTAACAGGAATCTGAGGTTATTTTCAGTAAGACCAAGATATGTGAAATACGATTGCTAATGTTTGATAAAGTTTTGATGACGTAAGGTTGCTTTGTGTTTGACATTCTTTAGGACACTAATGGTCAGAAGAACAGAGGCTAAGCACTGATAAGAATATTACGAAGAAAAGCTACCTGAAATAAGGAGTTAAAACTCGGTCAAAAATAATACTCAGATTATAGATAGCAACAGATTCCTGATAGTATCGATATCAGTTTACGATGAAGGAAAGGACTTTAGTGTGCCAAAATTTGTTTTACAAAGCCCTGAATTAAGGATTATCATTTTTGACATAAAGGAAAAGAAAATGACTTATGGGATAAAAAATTGATAATAACATTCCTTCCATACACACTCACACTCGAAAGCTTTTCTCCTAATTCAATGCATCCAGCTTTGCTTATGTTGAGTCTATCGAATCTTATATATTTTTGTACCGTTTTATTGGCAAAAATGAATGGATATGAATCTAATGACATCTTATAGCCAGAAGCATTTGATGCAATTTTGGAGCGTTTGGTAATCCTTAGTAATTACAGTTGTAAGCCTCTGTTAACCAAATTAACGTCAGTTCTTTGCGCAAAGTTTGCAAGGCTTGATCCATGGAGAGTAAACAGCGTTTTGGTAAGAGATTTCCATAGTGTTTTGAAACAGTCATGAAATCTTAAAGGTTTATTTCAATATCTAACTGCAGTAGTACAAATTAGCTCAATTAAATATGTTGACGTAGGCAACTGAATGAGTCGTTTATGACTATGTTTAAACTAACGGGTATTGAGCATTAAGTCACAGAACACAAGAAAATTAGCAATTAGGATTTTTAATAAAACTACTGATGATTACATATGATGAATGGATAATCAAATTTGCCGATTTCATTTGGCTGGTGACTTGTAGCTCTATTCAACCAAGAGGCGACATATTGAAAATCTTGTCTCTTTCTTTGTGGGAGAAAAAATATTTGATAAAATTCTTTGAAACTCAAGTCAATCTAAGGAACAAATAAAGCAGCAGGTCACTAGGCGGTTGTTTTTTGCTTGATGTTATTGCTTCATTTCCTAGAAATTTGATAATCTGCAATGCTATGCTGAAAAGGCTCCAAATTGCTCACATATAAGCCAGCACATTTTTTTGCAAAAGTGAAATCTCTTGATAAGTTTGTTTGTGTCTCTCTTTTGCATTTCACTTTATGCAGCTAAACTTTTTTACTTTGAACTGGTTCTCGTTTGGAGCATTTGTCAGTACTGTCACACTTTAATCATAATTTAGTGAAAAGGAGATTACAAACCAGGAAATGGACATATCTTTCAAAACAGCAATGGAAATTGTTTCACACCACTTCATTAACAAAAATCTTTAACAAAGTCCTTTATGAACCGAATAACCTCAAGTAGCTGCCTTGATTTTTGCATGTGTAACAATCTACGTTTTTCAGTTAGAAGGGAAAGCAAAAGAGAAACTGATACCTTAGGGATGAAAAAGCATATTTACCTCTGAATCTTCAGTAACTGTGGTATATTTTTATATGCTTCAGATAAACAGTTTTACACTCTAAAATGTGTACTTTTAAAAGGCATCAAATTATGTAATTGCTGTATTGTTTTTAGGTAATGGACCATCTCGGTCGTGCTACCAATTGCAATGATAGAAGTAACATCACAATACTTCCAAACTGTATCAGACATAATTGTATAAGACAGCCAAACGTCAAGCCATTTTATTTGCATTCACATGCTAAGCATTGCACTCCTTTATCATCCGAGAAAAGACCTTTTAGTGATTATTATTCATATGGATCGACAGTTGGTAATGAAATTGATAATTATTTGTCATCCGCTTATATTTCACTGGCAGCAGCTTCTAATTGGTTTGCAGCAGCTTGTGATTAACACCGACAAACATACGACAAATCTGGTTTACATTCAAATTTGACCAATAATGATTAATAAGATGGTGGTGTCCCTTGCATTTATATCCACTTAAAGTCTTTGCACAGTCTCTTCTCTAACAACAAGCTTAAATCGGCTATCATATTGCTCTAAAACAGAAAGAACAGCTATAGGGGTTAGCAATAATTCGTTATGGTATCTTGATGATTGTTGGTAGCCAATATTCTAAGTCTCTGTGCAGGTGTGGTTTGCGAGAGTCTCATCCTCCCCCAAATTACATTTTGCAGGTCCTTTGTTCACTATTTAAAGAAACAACCAGTCTAAGATATATCCTGTTATAATTTCTTTTGTCTACATATTGCTTTTACAAAACGTTTGCAATAAAATGAAAATTCGGTAATCAGTCACAAGTCTTTCGATGGATGACCAGTTGCTGGAAGATGCAATGATGCCAGGCTAGGCTAAGAAGCTAGTGTATGAGTATAAACAAACAGGTAAACTGAAATCTTACTTTTTCGAGGTGCTGATATCACATTCTTTAAATATACATAATCTCCAACTTAATTCTCTTTATAAGCTATTGCAGGGCCTCTCCCATTAAGTGATTAGTATGATTAAACCGAATAACATAAGTGTAGTCACCTGGTTTCTCATATAATTCTGCCAAAGCTTCTTCCATTGATCATCATTACACTGAACACTCGTACCATTTCCATGAATTGATAAAATTGAACAGGTCTACAAGATTAGCTTTTTATCTTGCCTTTTAAATGTCATCCATAGGAAGATTGAGCACTTTTGCTTAGACGCAGCGCCAGTAGCACTTTACATCTGAACCTGTTTCAAAAGCGTTATCCATCTGAAGCAGAATTCTTCTTGCGATGTTCAGTTTTAAATGAGAAACTCTTTGTGTGTAAATTGCTTTTTGGTACCTATAACGACACAGCTTTTAAAATCTCGTAAACATTTTTGCTGTTATTGTCACATCCTACAAGAACCACAAAATGATGGACAAAACAACTACCTTAGATAAAAGTTGCAAACTGTTTTTAATTCTTGTTTTGCTCCTTCTTTTTTCAACATTTGTTCCTGAAATATCCTAAAGAAGAGTCTCGATACAGGATTGAAGTAAAGCTGACGTTTCAGCTGCTAGTGACATTGGTTATCATCAAAGGTCTTCAGCCAACTTTATAGGGCATACGACTCTCTCATTCTAGCAGAACCTTCATCTATCCTTCCCTATATACCGTTTAATTTTTGCTTTCAAAACTTAGAAACAATCTGTTCATCGACCCTCATATATTCCAACAAAACTATTGATTTCGTAAGGCTCTCTAAATTAGAAAACGGCAAGGGCTAACCAAGCGACATTTAGCTAATTGCAGCCTTTAGCAAAGTCAAAAATGTTTTCTACGTTCTGTACTTTTTCAAATATTTTTTAAAGTATTGGCAAAAATCAATAAATTGATTCTTCTAGTTGTGCAGCCGGAAAATATGAAGTACGTCTTAGTGCAAAATTTCCTAGCTGTAACAGAATTGCGGAACCCCAAAATGAGCTCTTTACGAAAACTTTGCTATTCAAACTCCGTATTTTGAACTTCTGGTTTTTCTACTCCACAATTCCTTACGTATTCACCAGCAAGGTGAGGATCATAATATTGTGCAAAAGTTTTAATAAGGTTTACGGACCGATTTCGAGTTTCCTCCATGTGGATACTGAAGGAAGACTATGGTTATGCATGCACAACCAGCAATTGTAAATCTACTTAGTTCACAGTATTTCATTTATTATTTATATCAAAGAGTACGTTCCATGGAAGAATTGCAGATTATCGTCAGTTTTAACTGCTGTTCACTCAAAAAATGCACCTTGTTGGGATTATTTGCATGTAACTGGGCTTTATGTTGTCCTTTTGCAAAATAACATTACAAGAGAAATTGCAAGTATAACCCTTTCCTAGAACAGCTAGGACACATTCTGTGGGATTAGTCAACTTAACCTGTTTTGGGTGTTTGTTGGAGCCCCTTGCTTTTTAGGCTCCTGTAACATTTATTGGTATTGTGACTTTTCTGATATATTTTTTTTTATTGTCGCTACATAATTTGCTTTGATACTTCTCCCACTTATGAACTTTCAGGCTTCTAACCTGCTTTCCAATTTCTTTTAAGCAGAGTTACAGCTTAAAGAGACCTTGTCACAGACTTTGTATTCAAAGCAACTGACTTCTAAAACATAAAAGGTATGTACAAATTTAGTGTGTTTCTATATTCAATAAGTATGCTTAAAGGGGATTCAACCGATTTTTTTTGAAACATCAAACACACTTCTTTGGAAAAAATATATCGCAGTTCCCCTGTGATACTTCTAGATACTTCTAAATAAATATCCATACTTCTAGCAATTTATGAGAAATTTTATGCAACATTTTTCAAAGAGTGGCGTTTAATAAAAGAAAGCGTTTATTCAAGGATTGAAAATTTCACTTGCGATGATGTTACTTAGGGTAACATTGAACAGATAGACCAGTCAGTTTTGAATTAATAATTTTGTGTGAATTGTTACATTATAATGTCTTAGGACCAAGAAACTGCTCTACCTAAAACGATGATTGAATTTTTAGAGTTTTATAGTTAGCATTGATCTAAATTATTTGATCAATGACATCGTTTGAGGGTGGCACTTATGAGATAGAGGCATTTATTGGAGGGGTGCTTTTGTTACATCAAGGTGTGTCATTTGCATGTTTTGCAAAAAAGGGGCGTTTGCTGGGGTTCTTTTCATTGAAAGGTACTGGAATTGCAAGAAAGATTACACTTTTTCTAATGTTTTTGAAACCTCAGATATTAATACTAAACTCCATGGCTGTTGGGGAAAAGAATCAGCATTTATTTTCGAAGGTCCTATGGCTTACAAAGTTTTGCAACATATGCGAATTCGGTGGTAGGAATATTTGTGGTTCTAAGAATATTCGTGGCTTTGATAAGCCACAGCAACGAATGTAGCCGATTTATTGTCTAGAGAACAATGTGAGCGAAACATCTGGTTTACATGGTGGAATTATATTATGATATATAATACTAAAAAGTGCAACGAAAAGAAAACATTCCCCGAGCTTTTTCCCTTTTACGCTTACGATGCACTTTTTTCAATGGTTTCTATAAATGAATAGAACATACAGCCCTAAAGAATGGGAGCCTATGCTTATAATTTTGGCATTTTGTTCTAAGTGGCATTTGTAAGGCATGATAGTGTTAGTCTGTTACGCTTCTGTTTCTTTGATTATTGTTAAAGCAACTCTAATTACCATTCTGCGCGCAGTAAGGATATTAACTCTTCATACAGAAGTGGCTTTAAAACTGGTCAAACTTCTAAGTTGAGATGGCGATGAAGCCAAGCTCTAATCAGATATTTCCTGAGCAGTCCTTGGTTCTACACCAGCATGGATAAAAGTAAACAGGTCACACGTATAGTGAATTATTCATGCTCAACCTGAAAACAAAAATTGCTCTAAACCTAAAATGAAAAAATAAGCTTAGATATAAAGCCATTAAACCGATTTCAAAGTTGTTTTTAAAATAGACAGAAAACAATGTACCAAGAAGAAAATAAAATCTTCCCGCATGTACAGTGCTTTTTTCTGCAACTCTGAAAATATTCCTCTAGTTGTGAGCTCAATTATTCGCTAAAAATCTTTGAGAAATTCAGAGGTTTTTTACTGGTGCCATCTACAAGCTGTTACATGAGAATGCGTTTACCTTATGCGTAAGAAAACATGAAGGGTTACAAAACCATGCATCTGCCGCGGTTGATATGTCTAGCATTTTCGAATTACTAATATTAAACCAATGTTCGATCAATAGCTTAAAAACAATCTTAGCAATAGGGAGGTTCTGTCTCAACTCTTTAAGAATTGCTATCTGTTACATAACGCCCTTTTTATGTAAATTCGGAATTATTTTTATAACATTACAATCCTTATCGAACAATCCAAAGTGAATTTGTGGACGCAAAGAATGTCTATGAATACTTTGTATTTTATCAAGACATTATTTACCTAATAGTACCAGACTGTTTAATCTTCTTTATGCAAATGTACAGATATTGCCAAAGGTAAAGCCTATTGCCATTATGGACCTTTTTGATAAGAGCAAAATAAACATTGGCCGTCTGTCTTCGTGGATGATGTCTCAAGTTTGATTTACTGATAAAAAGTGTCTCGAAACAAAGCTCAGTCGTAAAAATCGGCCTAATTTATAAATGTTTCTGATATCCTTCGCAAATAGTTTCTCGATAATGACTGTGATAATAAGGCAACGCAAGCCAATTTTGCTGGAAAATGTGGATTAATGCCGCTCAAAGTCATGTTTGATATCAGATTTTTAACCAAGGCTGATTTCGACGCGGAATTAGTATTATCCCTTTGCTTAATGGCCAGTGCTTCACATAACAACTTTTAACTCGAGTCGAGATCATGCCATGCTAAGTTATCATAATATTTCATCCCTGATATAATTAAAGTTGTCCATAAATTCACTATTTCCATTCAACATATCATGAGCTGAAAATATATGCCGTTTTCATAAGAGTCTCAGCCCGGGCGGAGAAAACCGTGTGGAGTTAAGCCCATGTAAAGACTTTTACGTTTAACTTTACATGTACTGATAACCAAGTTGAAACTAACCTTGTGCTGAAAGTTCATATACAAGTTTTCACTAAAATCTCACATTCAGCTATAAGATCCTTGAGCTTTTGCATTTTCAAACAATTTCAAAGGCCTAACATTCGATTTAGGCCTTATATCTCGAGGGCCTCACAAAGTCTATGCCTGTTTTTTTATATATGCAAAGTACAGTTAAAAATACGATCTTTGGCAGCATCACTCTCAAAAAACCATGTTGCAGCAACTTGTTGGCAGCAACGGAAAGAATGAGAAATCTTCTTTGAGTCACAGGAGCAGTTTAAGCTATGACATAATCCATAATGGTAGCTGAAACAAATTATTTCTATTTGTTTAGGAGAAAATAGTCTTTGATCATTAATAACCCGTTGTGCCCCACTGACCCACTTTGCCCCACTACACCCTATTCAAAATTTGAAAGGAAGTTACTCTTACTCTAACGGAAGAAGGAAAAGATAGAGTTTTGATTAAGATTGAGTGCCGATTAATTTTCCTTCGGGAAAATTTAATTTAAAAGATAAAGGGCTTTTAAAACGACATTTTCATCATGTCAGACTGACATTACTGAGAGGACAAAGGTTGGATTGGCAACAATTATCACAAGATTATTAGATTTTATTCTAATCTTGATTGAATTGCCTTTTTAAGCTATTTCTGGGAAATTCTGTGTTGGGTTTCGTTTTGTGTGAGTTTATAGCAATCGCTATAAAGAGCTAACTACAGCATATGTAAGATTTATTTAAAGACATCAGTTGAGAGCAAAGAGGCTGTAAGTTGAGGCAAACATGGTGGTTAGGTGATGAAAGAATAGGGTCTGAAAAAAATCTTTAAAGAAACGCCTCATTACTTCATACAACGTAAGAATAGTTTATCTCTGAGAAAGAATCACCGGATCACCCATTTGTTACCTTTCCACTGAATTGAGAGAATTTGAAAATCGATTCTGAAAGAGTATGGTGGATCCCTTGTAACAAGTAAAAGTGAATTTCGTAGCACCTCCCTTCGCAATCAAGAAAACAAGAGCAAAAAATCAAAATAGGAAAGCTATGAATACCATTTTTTATATGTAAAGATTTAGAAAAATCACAGCTTCAAATGCTCTCGCTGTAACTGACTTAATTTTATTTGATTTCTTGTGAATGGTTAGAGATTGGGTCGACTGGTGGTGCTGGAGACGAAATTGCAAGATGCCGACGTTCTACATAATGTCGACGAGAATATACCAAACCGCTAACAGAAAAGTATAAATTTGAAACTGCTTTCATCTAAAATGATGCATTTTGGGGGGAATTATATCTTGCAAAAAATTGATAAGGCAACGGTTACTAAACATTGAATGCCTTTCTAATTTGCCAATTAAGAAAGCAAAATATCTGTAAGAAATCGAAAAAGTGGAGACGTTGTCGGGGAAGCTGAAAAAAGTTTGCTACCGATGGGGAAATCTAATTATAGCAAATCTCAGAGAGGCCAAAGCAAAAGGACGCACGGGAGTGGTCGCGCCCCTTTTCCTCGAACAAGTTAGCAATTTTATTAGTTTGCTATTATTTTGCCACCGCCCCCCCCCCTCCCCCTCCCCTCTATCCTACCGCCATTCCAAAATCTCTGGTTATTCCTTACCGCCACGCCACTCCTCCTGGGATTGAGAAAGCACACTGTACCTACTCATAAATCATGCTGACGTGCGAGCATCGTTACTCGTTGTTAATCTTAACATAAAAATGCTTCGGTAATAAAAAATTTAAAGCGGTCCGTTTGCACTTCCATCCCTTAAAAATTAACTGCGATATTCCTATTGCAAAGTCTGATTGTATTCAGCCAATCTTGTTAGATTCATGACCAATGAGCCAAGGATTAGCAACTTGGTTTAGGATTCTCTATTAATCTGATACTGCAGAGATTTCAATCCGGATCTTAAAACGATAAACCGTGCTTAAACAATTAATTGCAATGACTCTAGCTAGCTTTAAGAAAGGCAATGCTCAAAATTAACAAATGATGTGACTAACTGAGACTAACTGATTGCATTAGAGACATTTTTACATTTGTGTCTAAAGCATGACATCATAAAATATATTTTTGTGTTCTTTCAAATCAGGTCATATTATCCAAAAGACTGCCATCAAATCCCAGTAAATGCTAAAATTCAGCTAAATCTATTGCAGATGGACTGATATACATTCGTTAAAAGGTTCAAAGTTTATTGAAAGGACTACTGTATTTTTGCTTGTTTCGTAGATTTTATAACCAAGATCAAATTACAGTGATTTTATTAAGAATGCAATGAATATTGTTTTGCTATATCGTTTAGGTATATTCCACTGTTTTATCACAAGTATACAATGTTATTTTGTTCCTTCATATTACTTGATCAAAAGTTAAAATTTCTAAAAGTGTTTTTTTATGATGTATTCATTTTATAACTCTAATATGAGCAGATTTGCGAACAATATTTTGACGGTGAAATAAAAATTTTAAAAAAGGCTTTGAAGAAAGAAAATTTCAAGACTTACTAATACACTTTCTGCCTGTAACTCTTTAGAGTAAAAGTGTGAAAAACCCCA